GCCGAACCCATGTGGCTGATGTGTAGATCAATGCTTGGGTCCCACGCCATACAAAGAAGCCCAACTGGGCAGCAGTTTGGAAGCCTATTGAGCACTTAATACATATTGGGCCTAAAGCCCATTTCGAACTGGGCTGATTTGATCAGTCACTTAAAGGGGCGGATCTGAGATTAGGTTAAGCCAAAAAGGATTGCGTCTTAACCCTATCCACTCATGGAGACCAAATACAAATTAGGATTTGAATCTGGTAATCTCCTGATAAGATCAGGAGTGGGTTGATCTAATTTGCAGATAGGATTAAGAAGACTCCTTATCCAAATACAGATTTGGATTAGGATAACTCCTAATGAGATTAGGAGGTTTCTTAATCACAAAGAAAGGAGGAGAAAACCCTAATTCGAATTACAAGAATTCGAACCCTACGGTTTTCACAGATTACACTGCATCCTTGAGATAGGATCTCAGAAACCCTAGAGAAGAGAAAAGCAGTTCGCCATCTTCTTCTCTAGTCTTCTCATCCAACAGTCGCCGCCATCTACTGCAAGTTCGAGTTCTCTGTGAGGGAAGATCAAGAAAAGTTCTTGATTTTGTGTAGTGCTCTCTGCTTCCATCGAGTTCTTCAAAAGAACCTGGTTCGTGGGACGAACACTGTTGGTTCTGCTCCATCATCGTTGTGTCATCTTCAGTGGGAGCAGTTCTTGGGTTTTTTTTCTTTGGGCATGAACACCAACGTTGGGAGATACTGCTTCTCCGGATCAGGTATATCCCTTCCCTTCTATTTTGGTTCAGATCTGGTTCGGTTTTGATTCAAGTAAGGTCCTTGAATATTGTATTCTAAATTCAGGGAATGTGAGTCCTAGTTGGAAGAATGGAAAGAAATTTTTGAAATTCGCCCACCCATTCCGCAACCTTTTTGGCGTCCATATGATGGATCTTACCATTCTTTCAATATTAACTTATTTATGGGATAGCATCAATTTCTGAAATTTAGAATGTCTTTTTCTGGTTAACTAATCAGTGCCTAAGTGCCTACTAGTCATAGCATTGACTAGAGTGACCAAAACGACTAGTTATCACTTTATATCATTGGTAACACTGGCTAGAGCTAGAAACAACAAGAACTCTTCATACAATAAGGAACAAGATCTCAAAAACAGACCTCAACATCAATGACCATGAGCACCAAGAAGATCTATTAATAATCCACCCAATTTCATTATGTTTTTGCAAATCTGCTACTCCCAGGAAATTGGCTACCCTTCAGCAAATTTCCTTAAAGAATATCCCAAACCCTTCAAACCTCGAAGATTGTTTGATGGGAAATATATTTGTCTCATCTCAAAGCTTTCAAGCCAGCCCCAAATAAACCGGGATGTGCAACTTTAAAAGTCAAACATTGCTCAATGTTACAATAAACCAGTCACATAGAACCAAAAACATGTATCCTCCTTTTGCAAGCCTAAGAATCAATCAGGACAAACCAATGGTTTAAGAAGAAAAACAACCTTCTGAAATAAACGGACTGATTAAAAGAGTGTAGAAAGGTGATAGAGAACAGCAGAAACAGAGAATCAAGAAGAGAGAAGAGGAAGAAGAAGGTGGCGGCAATAGGGTTCAAAGAAGGATTTTCGAATGTAATCCTCACTTACACCCTAATCCTTTTCATTAAATTTGATTTACTATAATTACAGAGAGGCCCTTAACTGGGCTGTTAATTTTAAATAATCATAACATAAGTAAGGCCCATTTTGAGGCCCATTACAGCATAAAACATAAACAAAAGAATAAGAAAGAAATCTATGGGCCATTCGGCCCATCCTCTCTACACTCCCCCTCAAACTGAGCATAGATGTCAATCATGCCAAGCTTGCCAGTATCATGCTGAAGTTTGGCCTTGGGGACTCCCTTGGTAAGGATATCAGCTAGCTATCCTTCAAAAGAGAAATGGCAGACAAACTTCTCCAGAAGCCACTCTTTCTCGGATAAAATGTCTGTCAAATTCAATATGTTTAGTCTTGTCATGTTGCACCGGATTGTGAGCAATGTTGATGGTAGCCTGATTATCATAATATAACATTAATGGCTTATCATACTCAACACCCAATTCTTCCATCAAGGATCAAAGCCAAAGTAGCTCAAAAACTCCATGAGCCATGGCTCTATACTCGGCTTTAGCTGAAGATCTGGCAACAACTAATTGTTTCTTGCTCCTCCAAGAGACAATATTACTTGCCACCATGCTACAGTACTCAAAGGTTGACCTTCTATCATCAATGTTTCCGGCCCAATCTGCATTTATGTAAGCCTCCAGTTTCATATGACCATACTTAGCAAATAGAATTCCCTTTCCAGGAAAACCCTTTAAATAACACACAATTTGTTCTGTTGCTGCCATATGAGTGTCCCTGGGAGCATGCATGAGCTGGCTAATGCAGCTGACAGCAAATGCAATGTTTGGTCTAGTCATGCAAAGATAGAGCAGTTTCCCAAGTAACCTTTGGAAGACTTCCTTATCCTTCAACAGTACTCCATCTGAGGTAGAAAGTTTGTGACTCGTATCAATAGGAGTAGCCATTGGTCTAGCACCCATCTTCCCTGTTTCAGTGAGTAAGTCAAGCACATACTTTCGTTGAGAGATAAAGATCCCATCCTTAGACCGAGCAACTTCTATGCCAAGGAAATACCTCAATTCCTCCAGATCTTTAATTTCAAACTCTGTATGAAGGAAAGATTTAAGATCATTAATCCCTGTTACATCATTACCAGTCACAACTATATCATTAACATAGACAATAAGATATACCACCAAAGAGCCTCTCCTCTTCACAAAGAGGATATGATCAGATTGAGTCTGTATATAGCCAAAGTTAACAAGGGCAGCCCTAAACCTTTCAA